ATGCCCGGCTAATTTTTTCTATATAGATTTTTAGTTGTCCACCTAATTTCTTTATATTTTTTTAGTAGAGATGGGGTCTCCTCTTGCTCAGAGCTGGTCTCAAACTCCTGACCTCAAGCGATCCTCTGCTTCAGCCTCCCATTGTGCTAGGATTATGGGCGTGAGCCACCTTGCCCAGCCAAAACTCTAGCTTTCTCTCTGTATTAATAACTAGCACTTTCCCATCTGCGAACAACTAATAATAGTAGTTTTTAAAGTCTATTGAGTATTTGTTAGTTACCAAATTCTAAGTTAAAATTCACAGTCAGTATTGTTCCCCATTTAATAGATTACGAGTTTGTAATTGATAACTTGCCCAAAAGCACAATTGTGGGCCCCTAATCTGCAGACTCCCAAACAAGTTCAAGATTCTCTCCTTAAAAATGGTTTGAAAAATCCCTCTTCAGATCACCCCTCCTTGTCAAGTTGTCAGGGATCAGAGATATGAAGTGAAGGAATTTCTTGCCTTAAGAAGCAGTGATTAGGCCGGGCGTGGTGGCTCACGCCTGTAATCCTAGCACTCTGGGAGGCCCAGGCAGGCGAATCGTTTGAGCTCAGGAGTTCGAGACCAGCCTGAGCAAGAGCGAGACCCCATCTCTACTAAAAATAGAAAGAAATTGGCCAAACAACTAAAAATAGAAAAAATTAGCCGAGCATGGTGGCGCATGCCTGTAGTCCCAGCTACTCTGGAGGCTGAGGCAGAAGGATCACTTGAGCCCTGGAGTTCGAGGTTGCTGTGAGCTAGGCTGACGCCACAGCACTCTAGCCCAGGCAACAGAGCGAGACTCTGTCTCCAAAAAAAAAAAGAGATGATCCTTACACAGAATGATGGTGATAATGTGTTCGCAGCCTAGAAATACAGGGAAAGAAGCCATAAGTAAATAGGACCCAAGGGTAGAGAAGGAAGTACAGGTTGTGGACTGGGCCAGCCCCAATGCAGCAAAGAAACCAGCTAAATTGAGATCATCTGGGAGATCATGTTAGGGCTTTCATTTACCAATCTTTACCCTGGCCCTTAGATAACAACCAATGAAGATTTACTGGTTAAGGTTTGAATATAAAGTATATGATTGAAGCCAGGTGCAGTGGTTCTCACCTGTAATCTTAGCACTCTGGGAGGCTCAGGTGGGAGGATTGCTTGAGCTCTGGAGTTCAAGACCAGCTTGAGCAAAAGCGAGACACCCCTTTTCTACTAAAAATAGAAAGATTAGCTGAGTGTCATGGCACACACTGTAGTCCCAGCTACTTGGGAGGCTGAGGCAGGAGGATTGCTTGAGCCCTGGAATTTGAGGTTGCAGTGAGCTATGTTTTTTTTTTTTTTTTGAGACAGAGTGTGACTGTGTTGCCTGGGCTAGAGTGCCGTGGCATCATCCTAGCTCACAGCAACCTCAAACTCCTGGGCTAAAGCAATTCTTCTGCCTCAGCCTCCCGAGTAGCTGGGACTACAGGCATGCACCACCATGCCCGGCTAATTTTTTCTATATAGTT